CCTTTGTTGCCACTCTGCTTCATCGCATACGGAAGCTCACAAGAACATCCTCAACGGAGTGTTCTCTTGCAGCCCGTTCAGCAGATCGCCGTCAGCGAGGCGTCTCGGCTCCTCACGGGCGTACAACTCGCTCTTACGAAGCCACAGGCGGCGTCCCATCAGGCAGTACATGCCATTTACCCTGAGGAACCGCGACTCAGGCGAGCACGTCCCGGATCCGTGAGGTCCGCCTCCCGCTCCGATGGCATCCGATTACCTCAGGCGCATTCAGCACTGACACAGACCAGCACACACACACAAGCGCAGCCAGTCAATGTCATACCTGAGCTCTTTGCAGCCGCTCCTGACGCCCAAGACCGCTCCGAGACGCCGAGAAAGGCCACGAGGGAATAAGACTGCTCGAGGAACACCTCCGCAGATGCAAGACAGACAACAACGACACGTCTCTTTCACTCAAACCAAACGAAGTCGCTTTGTCCGCACGAAGAAGCACCAAAGACAGAAGTCACACGAGTGGACTGGAAGTGGAATGGGGGTGATGAAGGAGAGTCGGAGCATTCGAAAAATGTCCTTGCTCTACAGTGCGTACGGCGTTATGTACGCACCCTGTACAACTAGCGTACACCTTGTAAAACCAGCGAGTATGCATGCAGACCCGCATGCATTTACACATCTCTCGACACAACTCAGCCACGGCCAGCCTTCTTTCTCGAGCCTGTGCACTCCTGTCTCCCCTTGCTCGGCCTTTCTTTCATGAAGTAAATACATAGGCCCTCACAGAAATAAGCAGAGCACCTCTCCTCTCTCGTACAGACTCCAATCAAAGCAAACAAGGCGTGTCTCAGACGCTTCTTCAGACAGTCATTTCGTCACTCGACGAGCGCTCGCGGGCGCAAACCAGTACCAATCGACAAAGTAAACCCACAGATGGGCGGCACTGCCTGTACATCGGAAAAACGAGTCCTTCCTTCCCATCGATTTCCATCCATTTCCCCAGTCAGCCAGTCAGACAGCCAGCCCCCCAGCAGACAACATGCAGTGCATACATGAAACGAATTCGACGGCGACGGGGCACGAAGGGCAGAGCTGCAGATATGTAGGCTACAGTTATGTAGACAAGAAAAGAATTCAGCCGTCTCCGAAGCATTTGCTTCGGAGGGCGCCTTGCACAGGGCTTAGAGCACCTGTGGCGGGAAACGAAAAGTACTTCGAAAAAAGAATCAATGAGTCAGTGGGGAGGGAGCACCTCACCACAGCTCGCCCCTCATTGACGTCGAGCGTCCTCGGTCGACGATGAACTCTGCGCAGCCCGCCTGTCAGCGAGTCTCTGCGAGGTTCTACGCTCCGTCGACGCCGCTCTTTGTTGTGCGGCCCCGGCATGCTGTGATGCAGGGGGCGCTTGCGCTGCCTGAGGAGGAGCAGGAATCTTCAGTGCCTTCCTTTTGGGAAGGGCTCGCACTTCGGCGTCTCCCATGATCCGCCAAGTGTAGTGTTTCTCAAGCTCTCTGCGCGAGAAGCGAGTGGAGTATCCAGCAGGGTGTCTGAACTTGCCCTGCTCGACCTCTACCTTCGAGCTCTTCGGCAGATAGCGAGCTTCAATGCCGTCTCCATCCTTTGCCAACACATTCACGTAGTAAATGCCATGCGACTCAGGATGAAACAAAAGGAGAACCTGGCCCACTTTGATCTGCTCAAAGGTCGGTTGCTTTCCTTTTGCAGGCTCTTGCTGCAATCTGGGCGTCTCAGTGAAGTCAAGGCCGCCAACTTTGGCGCGACTTGCAGCTACAGCTTGAGCTTTCACGTACCGCTCTGATTGCTTCTTCGCATCGATCATTCTCTTTCTCCGTTCGAAGTCACTGCAGAGCTTCGGACAGAAGAGCTGTTCTTCTGGAATCCACTCCGCCAAGCTACGCGGCAGGAGATTCCACTTGACGAGATAGTCGCGGCGCCCGTCTCTCCTGGTGCGCATATCGAGTATCTCTTGCACTTCCCACACCTCACCGGTGTCCGTCTCGTCCAAGACGTTCGCTGGTGCGGTGGGCCTGTGTTCGATGGTCACCTGCTTAAAGCTCTCTGGCTTCTCAGGGGATTCCTGGAGCCATTTGCTTTTATAAGCGGGTGCCAAGCGAGAGACATGCACATTCATCACCTGTTGTCCACCAAGAGGCTGAATGCGGTAGTTCAATCCATTGTTGAAGCCGTCGACGACTCGGAAAATCGCTCGCCAAGGGAGAGCGAATTTCGAGCTGGTTCCTTTCGGAATCTGCTTCAAATGGAGACGAACCATCTGCCCGATCTCATATCGGGGCAGCTTCTCTGCGGCCCAAGCTGACTTTTGGGCCATCTTCTCTTGCTGCTTTGCGATGTTCTCCCGAGCCTCCTTGTGCAGGATCTCGAGGCCTTCGCGCAGCACCTCGACATAGTCTTCTGGTTCAATGCCGGACAGCATGTCCATTGCAACCAAAGACTGATCACCCGGCAGACGAGCTTGTCGACCCATCACCATCTCAAACCGCGTATGGTTCGTGCTCTGCTGCGTGGTGACACGGTAAGCAAACAACACATACGGAAGATATTTCTCCCAGCGATTCTCCTTCATGTCTACCAGCTTCTTGAGTTGGTGGACAAGGGTTTGGTTGAATCGCTCCACCAAGCCATCCGTCTCTGGATGTGCTGGTGTTGTATATTTGTGGTGTATGCCATAGACATCGCAGATTTTCTGAAGCTCCTTCGACTTCAACTGCGAGCCCTGGTCAATCAAAATGGCTTTCGGCACTGAATGCTGGGCAACAAACCAAGCCAAGCACTCAGCGACAGCGAGAGCCGTCATGTCCTTCATCGGAAATACCTCAGGCCATTTTGTCAGGTAATCCATGAAGACAAGCATGTAACGATTGCCATTGTGTGACTCAGGCAGCGGTCCAACAATATCCATGCCGACCAACTCAAACGCACGAGTCACCGGGATGGGTTTGAGAGGCCAGTGAGTCGTCGGGCGCTGTCGCGCCGCACGACACACTGGACAATTCATGACCCATCTCTTAATGTCGTCATACATGCCTCTCCACCAGTATCGCAGAGAAATGCGAGACACAGTTCTCTGGAGACCGAGATGGCCAGCCAACACATGGCCGTGATTCTCGTAGAGCACCTTCTCGCGAAGAGGCGGAGGAACAACGAGACACGGCGTTATCCCTCTGCTGGGTGCTCGGAAAATTCGGAATAATTTTCTATCGATCAACGAAAACTCGTAAGAGCCCGAGCGGACCATCCTTGCGATTTTCTCGTCGCTTGGTTCCTTGCCCGTGGTCAGATACTCACATGTTTGACCCAGCTCTTCATCGTTTCGTTGCAAAGTGATGATCTCTTCATCACTTGGCCAATGAGCGGACGCTTCACTTCTCAGAATGTCTGCTGAGAGCGGACTGCCCTCTTCAGGCATTTCGTCGAAGTCCTCCTCGATGGTGTTGACCATCGAGCGCCACTCTTCCTCTGTGCAACCACAAGCTTTGGCAGCCATGGCGCAGAGCCGCGAGATGGCGTCAGCATCTCGATGCAGCTTGCCTTTCTTGTGCCGCACCTCAAAGTCCATGTCTTGGAGGAGCAGGCTCCAATTCTGGACCTTCTGGTTGATCTCTCTCCATGCTTTGATGTACTTCAAAGCAGAGTGATCGGTCTTGATGATGAAGTGCCTCCCGTCCAGGTAAGGACGAAGAGTCTTCACACACCAGTACAGAGCGAATGCCTCTTTCTCTGTTGGCCACCAGGACTTCTCCTCCGTGGCGTTAAACTTGCGAGAGACATAAAGGACAGGATGCTCTGTTCCATCCGCATCCTCTTGAACCAGCACGCCACCGACTCCACGGTCACTGGCGTCTGTCTTCAAGATGAATGTCTTAGAGAAATCGGGTAGGCGAAGGATGGGCTCACTGCAGAGCTCCTTCTTGAGACGATAGAATGCCTCCCTCATCTCTGATGTCCACGCGAATTTGTCAGGTGCTTTTGCACTGAGCTTGTCCGTCAAAGGAGCAGCAATCACTGCAAAATCCTGCACAAATCGGCGATAATATTGACACAAGCCGACGAAGCTGTGGAGCTCTTTCTTGTTGCTGGGCAACTGAAAGTCAGCGACAGCTTGTATTTTCTCCTTGAGCGGCTTGACGCCCTTGGCCGTGACAGAATGACCAAGGTAATCAATTCGCCTCGTGCCGAGAACACACTTTGAGGGCTTGAATCGAATATTCGCAGCTCGGACACGCTCAAAGACTTCACGCAAGCGTGTGCAGAGCTCTTCATGGCTTCTTGCCATGACGCAGATATCATCGAGGTAGACGAGACATGTTTGCCACTGCAGACCAGCCAAGCAAACCTCCATGAATCGTTGACAGGTAGCGACGGAGTTTGAGAGGCCCATGGGTAGGAACTCATACTCAAACTGTCCTCGACCAGCAACTGCAAAGGCTGTCTTGTGTTTGTCACACTCAGCCATCGGAATCTGATGGAAACCTTTTGCCAAGTCGAGCGTCGCAAACCATGAATGTCCCGCGAGGGCATCCAAGGTCTCATCAATGCGAGGAAGCACAAAGTTATCCAAGACAGTTTGCGCATTCAAGGGTCGGTAATCAACGACGAGACGCCATTGATTCGGATCCTTCTTCCGCACAAGAACAACAGGGGCACAGTAAGGTGATGACGAAGGGCGGATCATTCCCTCCTTCAACATGTCATCCACTTGCCTCTGCTCTTCTGCTGCTTTCGCTGGTGAGCGTCGATTTCGTGCAGGCTCATAAGGAGGCTGGCCCTTCACCTCAATATAATGGTAGACCAGCTTGCCTTTGCCATACGGAATCTTTTCGCTCGAGAAGCAATCCTCAAACTCACAAGCCAAGCTATGAATGATAGCTTTCTGTGTTTGAGTTTGCCCATGTTTATCCTCAGGATACACAAGGAAGTTGATCTTGTCGACATGCGACAAGTCCTCTTTCACGTATTGCCTGGCGCCGACTCGAGAGAAATTCGGTGAGTCTTCCCTTCGCGCAAATTCTTGCACTGGTGGCTCATCTGTCTCTTTCGGGTCAGGCGATGAATGCAACCAAGTGCCGTCCCTCGATCGACTCAAATCAGGATTTTCCTGAATTACTGGGTCGTCGTGGGAGCCTTGCACTGGCTCATTCTGCTCTTCCGTTTCATCTTCGATGATGGGATCATCGTCAGATGGATCGGGAGCAAGTGGATGATCGGGCGAGACGACGCGCTGGGCGTCGGGCAACTCATCCTCATCCACGTCTCCTTTGGATGGAAACGAAGCCACAGCGGAAACACAGCAATCGGGATCGATCACATGAGTTTCCACCGCATCGGCCTTCGAGAGGTGAGTAGCGACAGCAGCTATCTCATCTGTCTCAGGCTTGACGAACGGACAGTTTGTATACAAGACCTCAGCAATGTCTCGGCCCTTCTCGTCTTTGCCAAGTGAGGAATCCTCTTCGACAGTGGCAAATGACGGCAAATCCAAGCCTTCCAGCAAAGATTTGTCTCGTACACGATACGTGGCCTTATCCATGACAGGCATCACGTTCTCGTGTTTGATCAGCTGCATTGGCACGAATTTGCCAATCTCAGTACCGATCTGAATTTTGACAGGTCTGGGAGAGAAATTAGCTACTGGCACGTACACCACCGTAGCTTTTCTCTTTCTGTCTGTGTTCTTGACGGTCAGGTGAGCGGTTCGCACTGTCACCAGTGCATTTGCAACACAAAGCCGTTGTTGAAAAGGACAGCACCTCAGCGGTTCGATGAGGCCTTCTGTCCCCTCAGACAAATCTGAGTCGGGCAGCTCAGCTTCAACAACCGCCATCGTCCAGGCAGGAATGGAGTGACTGGCTGACGCGCGAGCCACCGGCATTCCGCCTTGCAGACGAACCTTGGGTTTTCTTTGAGCTTTCTTCGATTTCTGTCCCTCAATCGAAGAGACAATCGAAGTCGCAGGTGAGTGTCTGTCCAGGCCTCTCCTCGAGAGGTCCTTTGTCAGACGGCTGGCCGCTGACCCTCGCATGTCGGGAGACACAGCCCGAGCATGGAAGAGACACATCGGCGACCAGCGAGACAAATACAGCTTCATATTCTGTATGTCTATATTTCGACAGTGATAGTGAAGAAAATCACCACCAAGGATCAAGTCCGTGGTCATGTTCTCTACCACTGTCACATCGAAATAAATCGGTGTCACTCCAGCCATTGACTCTGGGTGAGCAAGCGTTAATCGCACTTTGCCTTTGGCCTTCAAGGGAAGACCTCCTTCACTGTAAGGCCTTCTCCATGTCGGCTGCAGATCGTCAACAATCCCAAATTGACGCAGAGTGCGATACAGGGAAAATGACATATAACTATTATCTGCACCTGTATCCACCAAGGCGGAGACAGAATCGCCCCTCTTGCGTGAACCAAGCCAGACAGAAGTGGTGAGACGAAAGCCCGTTCCTTCGACACTCGACAGGAACGTCTTATTCCCTTGCTGATCCATGCAGGCAAGTACGGCTGAACGGCCACCTTCCAGCCCCGCCAATGCGTGACAAGACATCAAAGCGCTACAGAAAGCTACAATGAGGGCCACCCAAGTAAGTGGGACAAACGAGAAGAACGAAGTCAGGCCGCATGCAGCACGATATGCATGCAGTCGACAGCCTTCCAATTTGTCTGTACGTATGAATTGCTTAGGTCGCTGGGCAAGCAGCGAAGCTAAGCCAGTGAAGAGAGAAAATATGGAAGAAACGATTGTGTTGCTGCCAGACACGCCGTGCATGAATGCAACGGCGGCCAAGAGCAGCCAAGACAGAAATGTCAACACATGCTGACAGAACGCTTTCAGTGAAACGGTCTCCCACTCACGATAGCCTGAACGAAGCATCTCATCCAAGATGCGCCCCTCATTGAGGCTATCGTACAGCATGAGATGTTTCTCCTTTGAACGATGGCCCCTGTGAACCAGCTCTTGAGCTCAGCAAGGGTCTTTGTCCATCGGAGTGGGCTCTTGATGATTGTCTTTCTCTCAGGCATTGACCCTTTGGCGGCGCTCGCGACGAGTACCAACCAGAAGAGAGCCAAGAGCGACAACAACCAATACCGAATAGACTTCTTGACGTCAGGAACGAAGGAAGACACATCGATCACCGGTGAGGTCATCGAGACATCTTGCTTCGAGCCAGAAGAGGAGGGCGGCTGGTGAGACTCATCTACAGCCGTGAACTTGGATGACTGACTCGCCTTCTTTGCTTCCCGCTGTCTCTTCCTCCTCTTTGTAGTCTCACGAGAAGATGGAGGCGTACGAGCCTTCTCTATCTCACGAGGAATAGCCCGCTGCTTCGGGGTTGGCCGGATAGCAGGGGTCGACTGGGGAGGGACATACGTATACATCCAAAGAGGCGCGTGGACCTGCTTGAACTCATACGCATGTCTTTCGAGCGATGTGCTCCGAAGATGCGCGTGTATGGTGGGCAACACGGCAAAATTCGCAAAGATCTGCTCGTACGATTGGTCAGGATAATAGAGATGCCTGCGCGCGTGCTTTGCGCGTTTGTCCCGGAGGCGCTGACGCTTCCTCCTCGTCAAACGTCGCGGCACGATATTGGGCAGCTCCCTCTCTGATTGACAATCATCGCCAGCCGATGAACTGCCTGAATCAGACGAGTCCCATCTTCCACCATCCGCGTCAGAGGCGTAGCCCCTCTGCTCGCGTGTCGAGCGAGGAGGCTCCATCCTCCGATCGCAATACTTGTATTCGAGCTCCGGGCATCGATACCAACCGTGCGGATTCCAACGCCACTCTCTCTTGTTGACAGCGATGGAATGATTGTGGATACGGTAATAAGACGACCGTCATTCGAATATCAATTCGAAAAACGCATCATCGGGTACTGCTTCATCACTTGCAGGACTTTGCCTGTCGGCGTGATGATCCGTCTCGATTTCGGCAGAGAATCCACCGAAATCCCTCCAAGTCGAAACTTCTTGGACCTCAAGACTTGCTGGTATGTAGGTCTGTCACTACTTGACTGTACATCACCATTCGACTGTACATTGTCATGTCTCGTCAGCTGTACATTCGAGACATCGACGTCATCGACCTCATGCATGGCAGAAACGATCTCGGCCATAGACGTAGCGGTGCCCTGCCGCTCGTCCGGCCCGATCACTTTCCCGACCGTGCAGTGTCGGTGGCAGCCGCCGTGTCCGAATGCGCGCGTCTGAGTATGCGAGCAGCCTCAGAATCGCAATCGACGAATGCGTGCTGCTTGCCGCATGCAGGACACGATGGCTGTGCGAATGACTGAGCATTCTTCCTATTGGGACACTGAGCAGCGATGTGCCCGAAGCCCTTGCACTCATAGCACTGAATTCTGCCGCCGCCTCCCGAGTTCGAGGTGCTCGAACTGGACGGCGCGGAACTCGTGCTTGCGTCAGTGCGCATGTGGGAAGGAACTCTCGACTTGATGGCAGCTTCCTGAGCAGCCCGTGCCAGCTTCGCAGCCTGGGCAGGGGGCATACTCTTCTGCTCGATGAGTGCCGAGAACATCGACTTGAAGACGATGTCTCCCTCGTCGTCGCCGTCAGAGGACGCAGCATCCTCCTCGAGCGCACTCACTCGATTGGTGCCGCCGAAACGATATCGGGAGAAGGTGGACGGGCGAGACGAAGAAGCATCCTTCTTCTGTTTCGCCAACGCCTCCTCAACCTTCTCGCCGACCGAGTCCTTGATGAGTTTGGCTAAGTCTCCCTGAGACATGCCCAAGTTGCTCGCTGGTTTCTCTTCCTTCGTGGCTTTGGAGCCAGAAGACACAGCGAACGGACTCATCGTGGACTGGACGGCCTCAGCGAGACTAGCGAATGGGACAGCCGGCTTGGGGGCGGCGAAGGCACCCACAGCCGACAAACTGTCCATGCTGTCCGTCGATGGTTTGAGCAGCTCACCAAACGCACCCATGAGTTTCGCCACATCAGGTGAGCGAGTGGCCTCGTGTTTGTAACTCAAGTTGGTCTGCGCAACCGGCTCAGGATACGCATTCTCATACATGAGTGCGTGTCTCTTTGCCTGTTGGAAGTTGTAGCAGTCTTTGCGTTTGGGGCACTCCTCATCGGTCTCGGCTCGACCAGCTGCGCCGGTGAGATAGACCGCTTTGCGCTGCTCCCAGTTGTTCTCCATCTGAACCTTCAGATTGGGTTGCAATATGGGAGGCAGCAACGAGATGGCCGCATCGGCCTTCTGCTCATCGGTGAGCTTGACCTGCGTCTCGGCCACATTGATGATCTTCTCCAACTCAGTGAATCTCTGACGCAACGAACCGTCCGGTTTGATCTGATTGATCGACGCCGGGTTGCTCAGAATCTTGACGGCTTGGCGGGCAAAGCCCGGAGTGATGCCGTACGTCGCCTTGACGTCGGCAATGACTTCGTCCAACGCTGTCTGCCAGTAGGCATCGTTGGGATCATTCGCCGCGGCATCAGAGATGGGATGCCTCTTGTGGTATCCCTCGAGGATGCCCTTCGCTTCGCCACTCAGGCACTGGCCCAACGTGAGAAGTTTGTCTTTGGCCGAAAAACTGGCCGACATCACCGATCGTTCGCGTGAATCGATCGACAAACTGCTCGGCCGGCTGGCCCTCGACAGTGCCATTGTAAGTGCCAATGCTGTTGCAAATGAAGTTGATCTTGTTGTTGCGCTCAGAGAAAGCCATGGCGTCAACTCCGTCTACAAAGACGAGATGAGCGTCAGGGCCAGCGACAGCAAGAAGTGGATCAAGTTGAACTGGCTGGGCTGCCGGTGCTACAGGAGCAGGCGCAGGAGGAGCTGCTGGTGCAGCAGGTGCCTGCGGTGCTTGTTGAATCGGAACAGCGTGATTCGCAGGAGCAACTGCTATGTGCCCTGTCTGAATGTCACGCCAACGATTTGCCCCGACACACCACTGAACGTGTTGTCCGTTGGGATTGACAAACACACCAGCCCCTGGGGCTTGTAGCATACACCAAGGGACACGCTATTTGATGTCTCAAATAGGTGCGCACTCGGGTGTGATTCAGTGAATCAACAAATGATTTTTGATTGACGAGACAATCAACTGAACAAAGAGTCCGCCCAATCTGCCAATCAGCACAGCAGGAAAGGGAGAACCGATTTCCTCTTCATTTTCAAACCACAAAGGCTTCATACAGCATCACACAACACTTCATGCCCTCCCGGGAGGGGAGCCACGATAAGTGTCATGAGGTGGGATAGTGATGTGTGAGCGACGTACACACAAGACATCCACCGTGTGTAGTGAATGCATGCCGGTAATTAACAAACGAGGACCCATCGTCGCACGAATGGTTCACGAGCGTATGTAAAGGGTCGTGTGGGCGAGAGGGATTGATCGATCATCAAATACAAACCAATCCAGCCGACACACGATGAGGGACATTGCATTCGACGCATGTCTCCATCCAGCGCAGCTCAATAACGAATATGAGGATGACCAATCGCATCGCATCCTATACGCAACCATTCACCACACCTTCACAAGGGAGGTCTGAGTCTCAGCTAACAAGAGAGACACGAAGGGCTGGTGGGATGCCATGAAGCCATACGTAACATACAGAGACATTCCGTCCGTCGAGAGGGAAAATCACTGTCTTCTCTCCATCTCGTCAACACACCGTCGACCAGGCACAGAACGACAAGTCAATGAGTCACTCTCTCATTGCTTTCGTTCGGCCGTCCAAGACACACAAAGCGAGCATGGCCGCACCATGTCTCCTTTGTTGCCACTCTGCTTCATCGCATACGGAAGCTCACAAGAACATCCTCAACGGAGTGTTCTCTTGCAGCCCGTTCAGCAGATCGCCGTCAGCGAGGCGTCTCGGCTCCTCACGGGCGTACAACTCGCTCTTACGAAGCCACAGGCGGCGTCCCATCAGGCAGTACATGCCATTTACCCTGAGTAACCCGTATTCAACCGCGACTCAGGCGAGCACGTCCCGGATCCGTGAGGTCCGCCTCCCGCTCCGATGGCATCCGATTACCTCAGGCGCATTCAGCACTGACACAGACCAACACACACACACAAGCGCAGCCAGTCAATGTCATACCTGAGCTCCTTGCAGCCGCTCCTGATGCCCAAGACCGCTCCGAGACGCCGAGAAAGGCCACGAGGGAATAAGACTGCTCGAGGAACACCTCCGCAGATGCAAGACAGACAACAACGACACGTCTCTTTCACTCAAACCAAACGAAGTCGCTTTGTCCGCACGAAGAAGCACCAAAGACAGAAGTCACACGGGTGGACTGGAAGTGGAATGGGGGTGATGAAGGAGAGTTGGAGCATTCGAAAAATGTCCTTGCCCTACAGTGCGTACGGCGTTATGTACGCACCCTGTAGAACTAGCGTACACCTTGTAAAACCAGCGAGTATGCATGCAGACCCGCATGCATTTACACATCTCTCGACACAACTCAGCCACGGCCAGCCTTCTTTCCTAGCCTGTGCACTCCTGTCTCCCCTTGCTCGGCCTTTCTTTCATGAAGTAAATACATAGGCCCTCACAGAAATAAGCAGAGCACCTCTCCTCTCTCGTACAGACTCCAATCAAAGCAAACAAGGCGTGTCTCAGACGCTTCTTCAGACAGTCATTTCGTCACTCGACGAGCGCTCGCGGGCGCAAACCAGTACCAATCGACAAAGTAAACCCACAGATGGGCGGCACTGCCTGTACATCGGAAAAACGAGTCCTTCCTTCCCATCGATTTCCATCCATTTCCCCAGTCAGCCAGTCAGACAGCCAGCCCCCCAGCAGACAACATGCAGTGCATACATGAAACGAATTCGAGGGCGACGGGGCACGAAGGGCAGAGCTGCAGATATGTAGGCTACAGTTATGTAGACAAGAAAAGAATTCAGCCGTCTCCGAAGCATTTGCTTGGGAGGGCGCCTTGCACAGGGCTTAGAGCACCTGTGGCGGGCAACGAAAAGTACTTCGAAAGAAGAATCAATGAGTCAGTGGGGAGGGAGCACCTCACCACAGATGGTGTCTGCCATGATGGACACCTGAACGGGATCCTGGATGGATCGATGGATGGGCAGCTTCGTGGGGCTGCCAGCTCTGAACCGCACGTCAGGACTGAGGGCGAGTGGGGCACTCGTCAGCTCAAGGACAGAGGGATGGGTTGGTTTTTCGAGTCATCGACCACAGATGCTATGGTCACGCAAGCAAGGCAGGGGTGGTCCACCTTTTGGCTGGGCCCTTACCGCAGCGTTTGGTTGTGTTGGCCCGCGTGATGGCGAGGGTGATCCCTCGTGGCCGACGCCCCGCTAGGTGTCATGAGGCGCCCAGCCTCACTGACACAGGCCCCCAAATGGCAGTTGACCCACATACATAAAATTGCAGAGAAGCAGCCCACCCGGCTGATCAAAAGCAAATGTGAGCCGCCCATGTAAGAGCCTCTCACACACCAAGCAGCAGCTCCTCGCTCGCTCACGTTCATTCACAATGGGCACCCTTCTAACAGCGCTCCGTTCTCGGCAACCAAAGCAGCTGTGACCACCGCGCTGGGCGCATCTGAACCCTCACTCAAAGAACTGTCAATTCATTTCAAACATCATCACCTCGCTTAGTCTGGTTCGTGAGATATGACTCACTCAATTCGCGTGAAACGCGTGAAACACTTCATGCATGCATTGCCCCCATTTCCCCCATGTCAAGCTAGTAGCCGTCTCCGCTGGAACCGTCACTCAAAGGGCAGTGACCGCTGATGCATGTTTCCCTTAGGGTGGTCCTCGCACTCGCTCTGGTTCGCGAGAAATGTGTCACGCAAGTCTGTACAGAAACGGTCACCACCTGCCGCTCTGCTTTCTCCCCATTGACTGTGCAGACCACCACTTGGCTGCCTGCATCTCAGCCGGTACCCAACTCACCACCAATGGCTGGCGCACCCAGTGGCTTTGAGCTGGGGATATCGCGTTTGGGCGATGACGTGGACGACCAAGGCAGGCCTCTTCTGAGGAGACGAGCTCGTGGCGGCGGGAGGGGAGGAGGACCGGCAGCTGCAGGCGGAGGGAGGGGAGGAGTACCGGCAGCTGCAGCTGCCGCGGCAGCCGCACCTGCTCCATTGCCTCCACCATTACAACCCGCACCCGCGTCTCCCGCCGCGGGGCTGAACCAACGGAAGCGTCGAGCGGAGTGGGAGGCCGACGATGATGCACTGACTGTCGGCGGTAAAGCGCTGCCCCGCCGCATTGTCGAAATCCTCAAAAAGAGGATGAAGGCACGGAGAGTGGCCGACGGTACCCTGGTGCGTCTGATGGAGGGCGGATGGGAGAATTGCCGCAAGGAAGAAGCGCGGTTTAATCGTTTTGTCAAGTTGTGTCGGGATTATCTTCAAGAATACATCAGCAATATCCCGACTTTCACCCCGTCCTTGCCAGGAGGCCTGCCAATCGACTTGTTCGAGCGCTTGGTCACTTCACGGCAAGAGGTCCTCGAGCAGGTGGAGACAGAGCGGGCACGAGAGGTGGCCATAGATGAGATTCTCAGCGCGTTGGAGACGGATGAACGACCAGTTCACGGCTCTCCCGCACAGTGTCAAGAGACGCGTCAGAGAAGACAGAGCCACCTATTCCAAGTACATTTCTGGGATCCGCGATGTTTCTCCGACCGCCGCAGCTGCAGCGGCGGCTGCCTCTCCACCAGCTGCGGCACCGGCAGCTGCTCCAAAACAGCGGAGACGGCAGAGACAGCGGACTCATGCTGCTGCTGCTGCTGCTGCCTGGGACGAGGACCTCATTGAAGAAGAGTCAATTCGGCCTGCCGGAATGGAGACAGACGACCGATTTCAGTCAGATGCAGAGGAGCGTCTATCTTCCATCAAATCTTCCGAAGAAGGAGATGTTCATGACTGGGATCAGTTTCCGTCTGATCAGGAGGCTGACAGTCCTTTCCCCACTCCGCGCAGCCTGAAGGACATGAACATCCCTGCGAGGGATGTGAGCCCGCCAGCAGCCGCTGCCGCAGCCGCAGCCACATCCGCAGGCCCCTTGGTGCAGGTGAAAACAGAGGATGAGCTGGATCCTCTGATGGCCGCAGAGGAGGACGTCGGAGAAGATAATGACGACGCCCTGGAGCTGGAGGCGGAGATGAGTGATGATCAAGACGCAGAGGGACGTCCAGGGGCAGAGAGTCCTGAGTCCGCCAACAAGAAGCAGATCGGGCCGAAGCACAAGGACGTCAACAACGACGAACCCTGGACACTCATTCGGCGGGTCCACTATGATCAAGATGAGAGTCACACGGCTCATGTGCAGGTGGAGATGTTAGAGAAAATGAAGGGGAAGAAAGGCGGCAAAAAATGGCGTCAGCTGAGAATCACCACCAGTGTTGGATCGGCTCTTGTCGGTCCCGAGGAGTCCATCACCGAATACGCAGCGTCTCGAGACGAGTCCGGGAACCGGCGCCGCAACAAGATGGCGGATGCCGCCGTAGAGGTCCTGCTCTGGATAAATGGCCTCGCCGGCAGATTTCGTCCAAAGGGGTGGAGCTACGGCGGTACTTCAAGCAAGCTGCAGTCGATGCAGAACAATCTAACTCGCCTGCTGTCTCTCTTCTTCGTCTTCAACTGGCCCATCGGCATACTTCGAGGCGTCCTGTCTGGTGTGTGGCAGCTGTTTCTGGACAGAGTGAGACAGCAAGGTGAAGATGCGCGGCCCGTCGGTTCTTTGCGGAATGCCTTGCTGGATGTCGTCAAAGGATTTGCGGAGCGTTACTGTCGTGTGAGCGAGTCGTTGTACCGTTCTCTTCAGTTGAAGCTGCACATTGGATGGCAACGCCTGCAGCTCATCACTAACCTCTTGATCAACGACATCCTCCCCGGGCGTACACGGTGGTCACGGAGCAAGAAGAAGCCCCGCATTCTTCCCTCAAAGAAGGCCATCCAGACGGAGAGACATGACTACATGCCCTCACTGGAAGAGGTCGACCTCTTCGATTTGCTCCGTCCTGGCGGTGCCCTTGGATATGCGTGTGATCCGCGCAAGGCCAACGAGCACTTCTCATCAACCTAGGTGAGTCCCTTTCGGCTCCTCCAGTGGCTGATCGAAACCCACCCCAGCGTGGTAGATGGTGTTTGGCGGCTGGACCTGATCAAGGACGAGCTATGGACCGCTGACGATGAAATCACCATCCCACTATGCATATCTGGTGACGGCAGCGAACTCATGCGGATGAGACACAACAAGTAGGTGTGTTCAGCAAAGACAGAAGCACGTTTTGACTTACTGACAATCTCAAACTGCCCCTCAACTTCATGCCAGTGATCAAATCAATCGCTACCGACGGAGGTAGGTGCGATGAAGACATGCAGTACCGTGGCATCTGCTCCACCTTCCTGTTTTGAGGTGCTGCCACGTGAGGAGGAGCAGATTGCAGACTTTCAGCAGGCAGAGTTTGAGGGAGGCATCAAGCCACTCAGTGAGGACGAGGTCAAGGAGGCCCTCGACGTCGATTGTTTTTGAAGAGGGAGAACAGGGAGGGGCGGCACAGTCCAAGACTGAGCAGGAGGATCGAGCCATCCTTGCCGAATCAATGCGTCTTGGAAAGTCCCAAGAGCCGGTTGCAGGCCAGAGACATACGCGACTACCTCCTTCTGCTCGTGGAAGTTGGAGCCAAGGAAAAGGGGAAACTCTGGTGCTTCTTCATGTCCTACGCCTGGGTTATCCGCTTCTGCCTCAGAACCCCTGCCCCTGCCATTGAGGATCAGCTTCGGCTTTTCTCCCGCCATCTCTGGCAGATGAAGGTCGTTGGCCTGACAATGTAAGGCGCTCTCTCATTCGCTTCCTCCCATACTAATGTCTCTGCTTCTGTTGCTCACTGCTGCCGTTCGGGCTGAAGTGGCTCGACATCTACACACCCTCGATGCATCTACTCGAGTGCCACGTCCTTCCACACCTGGTCGAGTCGATGAATGGGATGGCGCCCCCATACGGCCTCCTAAATATGCAAGCACACGAGTCGGTGAACAAGGAGGCTCATTTGATCGAAGAAAATCACACAATGAAGGGCGGCGGCAAACAAGTGAAGGCAGAGCTGGGACTGCAAATAATCAAACTGCAGCTGGAGAGACACATACTGGCCTCGATGAGTGAGAAGCATCGGGCTGTGTTGAGCTACGCCAGCAACGTGAGCACTCAGATGATTGCAGCCGATGAGTACGACCGGCCATTGCCAGAGGTGCCATTGCTTGAGCTGCCACAGATAGGTGAGGAACAGCAAGAGAAATGGAATGAAATTGTAGCCCAGGTCAAACTATATCCCAGTAGAACACCACCTCTTATCTAGCGAAATGTAGATAATATATAGAGAATGAATGATTGGCGTAGCAGTGGTTGGTGCAAGTGTCAGCATTGAGTAACCTATTCAATGATTGACAGATTGACTGGTAATTGCGATGATTCATCGATTGATTGATACGAATGTATGTACAATGCACAGAGATACACCAATCAGTCCATGAGGCTCCTCATCGCCACCTCATACACCAACCTACTCTCAGTCTATCAGATTTGCAACCTCAGCGTGGTCGACCCCATGGCCGAGCGCAGCGCCCATATATCCTTGGATGGGCGCTTCACCAAACAGCTGCGCCGCCTGCTGCACGGCCTCGAGGCCCTCTGGATCGTCATCATCGTGGTTGGCATACAGGTCGTGATCCTGCTGCACCCCGTCGCCCTCGCCATCCCCTGCCTCCTCGCCACCAGCGGCAGCCGCAGCAGCAGCAGCAGCTCCTTGTGCGGCGGCAGCAGGGGCGCCCTCGGCACCCATGTCGTTGGGGTACTCGTGTGTCGACGTGAACGAGAAGATCACCTGGGCGACGGCCGTGGAATTGGCGGCGGTCCGTGTCTGTCAAGTCACTGCAGAGAAAGCAGCAAGTCAGATACGCAGTGGTCGGACAGAATTGAGTGAATCATATCTCACGAACCAGAGTGAGTGAGGTGATGATGTTTGGATGCCCTTTGAGTGAGCGTTCAGATGCGCCCAGCCCGGTGGTCACAGCTGCTTTGATTGCCGAGAACGGGGCGCCCTTAGAAGGGTGAAGGGTTCCCATTGTGAAAGAACGTGACCGAGCGAGGAGCTGCTGCTTGGTGTGTGAGAGGCTCTTACATGGGCGGTTCACATTTGCTTTTGATCAGCCGGGTGGGCTGCTTCTCTGCAATTTTCACGACCCCCCAAAAGCACCAGCTGGGGGACTGCTCTAGGCTACTTTTTTTCCGTGCGTACGATCGGTTCTTCCGGGGTTGCCAAAGTCGCCTCGCAGTCAGTCTGTTAAAAGCTGCAGTCAGTCTGTTAAAAGCTCAGCAGTCAGTCTGTCAAGCTCAGCACTCAGTCGTCTTCTTCAGCCGTCAGCGGCTGCTCCTTTTCTTTCTCTCCTCCTTCCTCGTCTTCGCACGCTCGCCCTTGCATCACCGGTCTTCTCACCAGCGTGGCCCGACGACGAGAACACACAGTCGCTGCCCGCCGACATCCACAGGTACTCATTCTCGTGGACACACCTTACCCCCCGACCGGTTCATCTGTTCCTGATGACTCTGTGTCTGTCAGGCAATCATTTGTGCCCGTGCACGTGTTTGTGCCCAGTGATGCACCCCCGCCACTGATGCCCCAGCAAGAACCCGTCGCCGTACAGAATGCAGAAGGCAACGGGGCCTGCCTCGACAAGTTCGGCCTGTGCGGCGAGCACTGGGTCTCGGCTACCAAGCACTCATGCCCTCGCCGTAAGAGGACAAAGCAACGTACTGCCTGCCGTAAGAGTCATGTGCCTGTACGTGAGTGCGTTCCTTGGCAGACAGTCACCCAGAACTGCCCAACAACGACAGCCGCCAGGGTCGCCAGCGCGAATCGACATCAGGTGAGGTACCACGGGCATACACACCACACACACAGACACATCTCCCACACAACGACGCCTCTCTCGTCTGTGTCTGCAAAGTTCGGCGACACCATCGACACAAACGACAAGGACGCGAACGATGGGCTGCTGTGGTCAGGGCTCTGGGCAAGCTCCTCAAGAGCGTGGACCAATCGGCTCTCGTGCCAATAGGCTCGAGATCAAGAAGGCACACTCTTCTCATCGGTCATTTTTCGTTGGCAGAAGCTGATTTGCGCATGTTTGTTGATCTGCGCTTGTTTGCCTGTCCTCCTCGTGATCCGCCCTGCATGCTTCATGATTCGTGTAGTTCACCCCAACTGCACAATACCTGCCTTCATGATTTGTAGTGTTCTCTGTCTCTTCGTCTTTGTACCTATCTCGGCACAATTGTGCTGTGCGTCTTGTTCTTACCTGTGCGATATTCTATGTCTCTTCGTGTTCGTACCTATCTCATGACACATCCACACACATACACACAGCTACAAAAGGGAGAAGGACATGTGTTCTTTTACTCATCGCATGGCTGGTGTGATCGACGTGTTTGTTGGACACATCTGCATTCTTCGTCAAACGCACAGTCGCCCCAATCACTTGGGGGGTCGTGCACCGCGCTCAGCTTGCCTGGGCGCCTTACTTGTTATGTATGTGGGTCACATGCCAAATGGGGGCCTGCACGTCGAGATTCTCGACATCGTCGAATGGACCCATGGTTACTACACCCGATTTGACCCTTCACTCGGACCCGTTAAAGTTTGCCTAGTTCGGAGAGGCTGCTTACAACCGCCCGAGCAGCCATACAGGGGGAGCCAGTCGCAGATCCAGTAAAGCTGCCATTTTGTTGCCCCCTCTGGCACCTGCCTCACCGCACTGATGGTCGTCCCGCTCACGCTCGTGCACAAAGGCCATGGCGGATTTAGCAAAGTAAAGTCATTTGAGAGAGACAAGGCGGGCCCCAGCAAAGTAGAGCAAAGTAGAGTAAATCTCTTTTGAGCTCACCCAGCAAAGTCGGCAGAGTAAAGTGAATAAAGGAAAGGAAAAAGTGAACCAGAGGGAGAAGCGACAATTAAAGTAGAGTAAAGCCAAGTGAAGCAGAGAAGTGACCATTAAAGTACAGTAAAGAAGTAGAGCGAGGTCCCCCGTAAAGTGAAGAAATGTCCGCTTCGTCGCCATGGCGCAGCAGCCACAGTGCCCTCCGTGCCTCACTGGATCCACAGGTAGGCAGCTGACCGAGAAATCGCACAAAAAAGGATGCACCGGAGGAACAGGGTAAGGAAATTGAAGGCTGTGCAGCGAACAAATGCATACGTTGCCTGTGCGCTTTCATCGGCCAGGGATGTTGTTGTGGGAGGAGTGGAGCAGGTGTTTGCCGTCTTGGCAGAAGAAATGCGCCTCTTCTCGTCCACCGAGCTGAACTTCATACTCAGGGCCCACCTCAACCACTCCCTGTGCCCATGCCACAGGGAGTGGCTCATCGATAGGCTCCATCGTAGCCCATGCAGCATGGTATGCGACGGGGCTGAACAAATCAATGTCGTTCTTCTTCAATGTCGCCTTTGCTTATTGCAGTTGTGCAGCAGCAGCAGCAGCAGCGGGCTCGGCAGCAACGCACAGTGAACGCCTTAGCCATTCAGGTCACTGGTGGACGGAGTTACGTGGTCATCTTTCGTTTTCTGTACGGCCTGTGTGGCATCTGCAGAATCCGTGCATATCAGCAGTCTATGGCAGATGTGCTTTAATGTACAATAGCAAGAGGCAGGAGTCAAGCAGTCAGCCAAACAGATGGACAGACGCAGACCAAGAATGCATTCACTGAATTCGGTTGGTTCCGGACGGCTCAAAGCGCTTTTATTCATCAGATGATACGTACGTGCACCCACATCCACACAACCACCCACCATTCATGCAACGAACACATATCAGCAATTCCACAGACACGTACACGCCCGTCCACAGATATTGATGCATTCCTTCTTGTGTCTCACCCCCTACATCCACCCATGCACTCTCTCATTGACCGTATGCAAACACCAAACTGACCGTATGCGACAAGGCGTCAAGGACAACTTTTGGCGCATGCGCGTCAGACAAACGCACCTTTCTTTCTCCGCGAAACGAGTCCAGGGTCGCACGTTTGATGGTTCCGTCTTTCAAAAGACACGTCTCCTCAACTCCTCCACTGGGAAAGTTGTCCCTGGATCTGCTCTGCTTGATCTGCTTGATCTGCTGGACTTCGGCAACGCTGTGTGTGAGTGGTTGTGCGCGTGCACAGGCCAAGGATGCAAAGCAAAAGCGGCCTTCATGCCGTGGAAACAGTGCGTCAGTGGACGCGTCATAGTGCTTACGAGTCAATCCGTCTGTCGCTTCCGTCTTCGCCTGCATTTCGCCTCACATTACTTCACTTCACTTTACTTCACTTTATTTTGCTTGACGTTCCCTTTACTTTACTTTGCTTCACTCAGCTCGAGGGGGGTCCCCTCTGCTTTGCTTTGCTTTGCTTTACTTTACTTTGCTTTGCTTTGCTTTGCTTTACTTTGCTTGCGGGGAGTCTCCCCCCCTTTGCTTTGCTTTACTTACTTTACTTTGCTTGAGGACGGTGTCCCCCCCTTGCTCCCCCCCTCCCTTTGCTTTGCTTTGCTTTACTTACTTTACTTTGCTTGAGGACGGTGTCCCCCCCTTTGGTTTGCTTTGCTTTGCTTTGCTGACTTTAGTGGACCTTCCTGCGGTTGCTGCATTGATGTGCTTGACTTAAAGCGAAGTAATCCCAATCAAAGTACACGGGAGAGAAACTTGCATTAACCGTAACACTCGTCTGTGTGTCCGTGATACTCATAAATATACAGTCCCATGAGCACGCAGAGTCAAACGATCACGGGGAGGAGGGATCGATCCCCGCCCCATCAGCACACCCCAGTCCCGCAAACCCTCCCCTCCCTCCCCCACGCAGACAGAAGCTAGTCGCACGCGCGAGGGCGATAGACAAGCGAGAGCGAATCCATCCAGACACATGACTGAACCCCCGACCCTTCAACCCCTCCTTCTCCAACAGCGCATGAGCCATGTGGGCGATGAACACGTTGGCATCGTGTCCCCACACACCGTCACACG